ACAAAATGAAACCAAACAAAAAAAACTGCTTTTCAGAAATATGAAATTAAATCTCCATAGGAAGCATCTACTCTAAATAAATAAATAAACGAGCGAACGACTGAATAAAATCAAGTGTCCTAAAACTTCTTAGCAGCAGACATAGAAACCATGCGCGTACGGCTTTCTAGAACCCTACTTAAGAAGCTTTGTAAACCGTCAGGGAGCTTCCCTCAATCCATGGCTGCTTCTCCGCACTGATTTGACAAAGCTGATGCAGATCTCAGTGTTCTCAGGCAGGGACGCTTGTGAAAGGACAGCGGAACAGACGGAACGGATCGCTCTGCTTCTGAGTGCAACTTCTGGGTCATTTAACAGTGCGACTGCAATAAGAAGAGAACACAAAAGCAACATGAAGGAATGGCACCACGCTCCCCAGCTTGGCTGGAGAATAAAGGGCCAGAAAAATATCTCCAAAGCCCAGGGTTAATCTCCCCTGGTCAGTCCAGTGCTGGTTACTGTGTCTGCTCTGATGTTCCCCGTCGAGAATGGTGGCTGCCAACAAACCAGCATGAATCTCTTCTGATTTCAAGCTGGTATGGAGGGTTAGAAAATTTCATGAAGGAAAAAAAAAGATTATTTGACATAAAGGAGAAAAACACAGAAAGGTAAAAAGGAAGAGAAAAATAAGAAGTCGTGTAAGGAAGTAAACTGAATTAGATATACAGCCTGCTTTGGATCACAAGGCAAAAGAAGACCTCTAATTTCAGCTAACAATGGTTTCCAGCCTTGTTTCAGTTTTCATGTCACAAAGTGTCTTCAGACTTCTTGTGGAAGCAACAGCCTTCTCTTTACAAGCAGCAAGGAGCAATGGCTGCCAGAGATTACAGCCAAAGCGTGCAGAAGAAATGCTAGCAAGAAAAATCACGTGTCCATTAATACTGTGGCTCACAATTCTCAACCAATTTTGTTTAGCAAAACCTCTGTCCACCAAAACACTCAATTCCCCATCAAACGTTCAGCACTACTACTGAGTTCAAGTGTGTATTTAATTACCATCGAACATGTTTAATTACTATTGACCGAGGTTTTCCCATGTATGCTTCAACCTCTTGAAAAAACAGCTCACAGCCCACATGGCAGCATTCAGTGCTTTCTGTTTCAGTATCAGCCCATCCCGTTCTGGGGCACAAAGGACAAGGTGCTGCTCTCCCAGTCCATTTCTACCCGCGCCCTCCATGCACCGAGTATGAAGTAAGCACAGTAAAGGCAAGTCCCTTTTCCCGGAGCGCAGTGAGCATCCCGTGCTGGCATGCAGTGGGCAGTGAAGCTCAGCTGTTTGAGGACTCAGTGGCACCCTTCCTCCCCACAGCGCTCTCTGGCCAGCTGCAGCTCACAGCAGTGCGGGCTGGCTGCCTTCAGAAGGCTGTGCAGTCATACTGACCACAAGCAGGGGCAGCCGCAGTGCCGAGCCACAGCTGCAAGTAGATGGAGACACAGGTGTGGCCCTAAGACCTCTATGTGTACAGATATAGAAAAATCTCTATGTGAATGTGAAATACTGCTCTCCTGAGAAGCTACCAAACTTACGAGCTCACATTGGCAGTTTGCTTCTCAGTGAAGGCTTGCCATAGCTATATACTAAAAGCAAAATAGCAGCAGTTGTCACTGGGATAGATTAAATCCACAACAAGACCACAAGTAAAATAGATGGGCCCAATACTCACAACATCAAAGCTATCAAGAACAGCTCTGGTGAAACAAGAAAAGATAAGTTAAGAAGCAAATACACCAATGGAGGGAGCAGAACATGAAGCCAGCAGACGTGGATTCTCAAGTAACAAAACGTGAAGAGAACCAGTAGCCTGACAGGAGAATTCCATGGTTAAAACAAGAAAGAATAAATAGCTGTGCAAAAAGCAATGATCTCTTAATGTATGCCACCAACTAAAATCACTCTAGTGCTAAGATGAGGACAGTAAAGTTGCTGAAACAAGGCAAACAAGTATTGCCTATCTCTATTTGATAACGTGGGTAACTTGCTGCTATGCAGGGATGAGGAGATGCGTCCAGGATTCCAAGCAAGTAATGCTGAGATCGTGTTCAGAATTTTGTAGGGAAAAGCATAGCCACAAGAACCAGACAAACACTCCATAAAATGTAGGATAGCGGTGGGACGGTGATGGCAACTCCTGCTGAGTTTTGGGATAACCAGGTAATTGCTCACAAGTGGGTGTCCTAAGATAGAAGAAAATAATAACTAATAATTGCAAGAGATGGGTTTAATATAGCACTAATTCACTTCATGATAAGGACCTTTATTAGAAGTAAAGCACTGTCATTAACAGCAGTGAGCAGTGTCCTACAAAAGGGCTGTCCTGCCCAAATCCCGCTCTGTGCTGACCGCATCAGGACACGCTGCACCTCTCTAAGGTGCTCCACCAACAAACAGCATTCTAAGGCAAACAAAGACACACAGCAAAGAGCAGGTTGTGTGAATGCAGCTGGGTCGGGCAGAAGATGTCGTAGCTAACGATTACGTCAGCACTGCGTCTGCACTGATCTGCTGTTGTTCTCAGTGCAGTGAAAAACCACCGTAAGGTCAGTGCTGATGGAGCGGCAGAGGACGGGAGGAGCACTGGGATCCGGACCCACGGCGCTCGGTTCTTGGCACAGAGCTCAGGCATGTATGAAGAAATGAAGGCTTATTGCTCAGCACCGCTCTGTTCCTTCGCTGAGGTGGGGACCAGCCGTGCGATGTGCGGCAGGCAAGCGGTAAGGTGACACCAGCTGACAGGACCTCCTGTCTGAGATGGGTTTTGCTGTGTAGTTCACAGGACAAAGATTATTCATCTTTGCAGCAAGGCAGTCTTCGGAGAAGCAGGCAAATGCAAGCTTGGTCATGTGTAAATGTTCCTTCCTTTAGCTTTACTTACCCAGCAGGTAACTCATCTTCCTACAACAGATATCATTCCCCATGCACTTCTACTGCTCCAAGAAGGCTGGCATACATTAGTTCTCCCTACAGAACCCAAAACCTTCTCTTCTAAATCACACCGGAGCAGATGTGGTCAGCCTTGTGCAAGAACTGTTGCCATTTCATGTATTTTGTATTGTGCTGTTGCAACAAGAAAGCCAAACCCCTCCTCTTCTAAGGAAAACACACTAAGGTTACCTTCTTCATCTAAACAGCCCCCTTGGCTTTCTACCAAGAGCTGCATTCCACCAGAAAAGCCTTTCTTTGTGCTGTTGGGAGCCTCTGATTTTAAAGCAGTGGAATGTACTTGTAGATGTCACAAGCTCTTTACAATGTATTTACTTGCAGCTCTTGATTTGGTGTGTTTGCTCTGAACCTCCCAGCCCCCTTCACCCAATGGGCTACAGAGCAGATTAAGAATACGCAACTGAACTTGAATTACACTGACAAAAAAGTCCTTTCTAATGATTAGCACCAAACCTGCAGGGCAGGTTCAAGTACAGGGATACCAGGGACAAGACACTACACACAGTGTGTGAAATATCCCACTGAACATAGTAGGATTAACAAACCCTTACAAAAGCAACAGAAGGCACACGGCTGGATTCATCTTACACAGCAGGCAAGAAAAGAGCACATGAAAAAGCCACCGTATCCTACTTTGTGTCTGCCCAACAAGTCCAGCACATAGAAACCATGCCCAGCTGCCAGTTCACCTCTAACAACTGCCTCAAACACTTCCTGCTGTGTAAGAGCTGCTGTTAAGTGAGCGGGCAGCACGGAGTGCTGTCCTCCTAAGGGCACTCAGCCACAGAGGGCAGCTCTCTGCGCCAGATTTTAAGTTACTCTGTTCAATTAGCAACAAATGCATCGAATTTGACCCCTGGAGGTCCTGAGGAAATAAATATTCAGTGCAGGCAAATCAATCAGGAACAGAGGTGAAGGTTAGTAAGGAAATCAGACAATGCTATAAGAAATGATTTTTCAATCTTGTTGTACTAAAGGCAGTTTGCTGCAAAACCTTAAACATCCGTTTCTTAGTAAAAGTAACCCAGACACTCATTTCCTGGAGTGACAGGCAAGGAACAAAATCAATTTTTACAAAGTTTTGCTCACTAAGAACATGGCACTGTGCATTCTGTTCAGATTAAACAGAGCCTACCAGCCAAGCCTGCCTCCAAAACAACAGGGCAAGCAGCAATCGAGGCAAAGTGCAACCAGTAAGCCACAGCTTTCTGTAATGCAAAGAGAAAAGCTCCTTATGCAGGCCGGGTTCTACCCTTCCCAGGCTGCCCAGACTTGCCCCCTCGCTGCATGCTTTACCACGTTATTGACATAGCACAAGATGGTTTTTGCTGACAGATGAACACGAGACAAAGCTCCTTTTCATCAAGCACCCAGCTCTGCTCAGACTGCAGGCTACCAGAAGTGCAGCCTGCATTGCTACCTTACAAACCGTGGCTTCTGACACAGCACAGCCATAGAATGGGATCCTTCACCGGACTACCAAGTCATCACACAAACCAGAAACACACTTTGGCTGTTGTAGTGAACCCACTGCTTCTGGTTCTGATTTTACTAAGCTGCAAATCCAAGCTGACAGAAGGAGAATTCTGAGCTGCTGTAAGGAACAGCAGTTCCTTAACTCCCAGCAGATCAGCAATGGCAAATATCACAGCCTTTCACTCCAGCTCCCTACATGGGTTTAAGTCACTGCTTTAAACAAACTCAATGAATCCAAAAATACTTCTGCTACAGATCAAGTGTTAGAAGCATATTACTGCTTCCATTCAGTTTCATCCAGCACACAGTGAACCACACAGCCCTGCTCAGGCACACTGCTAAGCAAGCTTTACTGGTACTAAGCATGTTGCAGCGAGCTGAAATAAAGGTGAATATTCAGAGCTTCTCCCTGCTAAAGGTGCGGGATCTGCAGTGACTAGAAAGAGCTGTGGCAAGCTTTGAGAGCAATGTCTCAAAAGGAAAACAAGAAAAATCACAGAACAGAGACCAGACAACAAAAAACAAGTCAAAAGCACTTTGAGCAAGTCTTTATTGTTCTACTTTGCTAACTAGAAGTAAGATAGACAAATTCCCCAACCCCTTCTGTCAGAACATCGGGGCGTGATGAAACCCAGCTCCCAAATAATCACATGCTTTGAAAAAGGTAAAAAATACTTCTGTGATTTGTGCCCTGCAGCCAAACTTGAATGACCCTGAGAAAAGTCTGTGCAGACAAGTCAGTGGAGATTGATGTGCAGCTCGCTGCTTCTGCTTTAATCCCCTTTGTGTTATTGCTTTCAAATTGAGTTTGTTTTTCTGTCGTTTTTTTTTTTTTTTTTCCAAAAAAAGTGTTAATCTTGACTAAAATCCACCATGAAGTGCTACAGCGTCGCTTTTTATTACAAATACCGGAATTTCCTCGAAAATATAAATGTGTAAAACAACCAACCGGCTGTACAGCGCATTTACAGTACATGTTCCAGAGTAACGGGCAGACTGAAGAGCTGCTTTACACGTTAGCCCTTGGCCACAAGGATTGGCAGTACGGTTACAACTCGGATGATACAGGGTGAAAAGCTCCCGCCGCTACCAATAAAAAAAGAAAAGAAAGAGTCAAGACCTCAGTTACAATTAAGTTTATCACAGAACTGGGATACATACATAACTGTACAAGGAACAGTAACCTCTAACTAGAAACCGTCATCATGTTGTAACTCTCGGACGGGCTGGACCGGCCAGTTCTCCACTTCTTACAGCTGCTCCTGCTCTCCAGGGCTTTGCTCGCCTTCGCCCCGGGCTGTGGACTTTCATAGAGGACGCAGATGGAGCCGTCCTCGCCTATCCGATAGGACACCTCGAAAGGGTCGACCCAAAGAGTCAGTTCGCTGGGCAAGAGCTGGAAAAGTCTCTCGTGGCTCAGTCCGATCATCGCCGCCGCCTTGCCGATCAGCGGGTCCATCTGATGGTTGATCCTAATGCACCGGTACCCAGAGCCCTTGGTCGGCGCCGTGGGGAACCAGTGGTGTTTGTAGTGCTCTGCGGGAGGGAACAAAGAGCGGCGTTAGCGGCGTTAGCGGCGTTAGCACCGCCGACGCGGAGCGGGCCGGGCCGCCGCTCACCGCGCAGCGCCTCCTGCAGGTACTCCCGGAAGCACCGCAGCTGCTCCTCGCCGATTCCGCCGGCGGCCCGCAGGAGGCGGGTGACGAACGCCGCAGCCGTGGAGGTCTCGGTTCTCATGGCCGCTCGGCCGCCGCTCGCCGCCGCTCCGGCCCCGGCCCGCCGCTAGCGCCGCCGCGCCGCTCCGCCCGGCCCGCCGCTCCGGCCAATGGCGACGTCGCGCAGTAGCGCGTCACAACGACGCGGCCCGCCCCGCGCCCCTCCGCGGCCGCCGAGCCCGATCCCCATTGGCCGCGGCGGGCGCGGGGCGGGGCTTACGGGCGGCCGCGCGCGGCCATTGGGCGGCCGCGGAGACGGGCCGTGTTTGTTTTGCTGGCGGAGAGGCAGGGCCTCGCCGCCGATTGGCCGGAGCGGGAAGGGCGGGAGCGGACGAGGCGCGCCGCCGCGTGGATCTCCCGGCTCCGGCCCCGCTCCGCCCCGCTGTCTCGTCTGGGCTCTCGTCGCTCGTACGTCTCAAAACACGCACGTGGTCTGTAAACCTCCATCCATCTCTTTTCAGACGCGCTGCTCCGGGGCCAAGACTCCAGATCCAGGCTCAGAGGCTCCACCAGGAGGGCGATCCAGGCGTGCATTCCACGTTTTAATGCACTTTTCTGCAAGATTCCTGCAGCAGTGAGTTGAGAAACGAAGCAGCAGGAAGAAATGAAGTAGGACTACCAAATACAGAATCTGCTTGCACACAGAACACGCCGCAGCTCGTCCCAGCGGGCCGTGGCGCGGTATGACGTCACCTGACGTCAGCGTGACGTCACCGCTCCTCACCGAGGAGAGCAGCGCCGCCACCGCCGTCGGCCGCCGCTCTCGCGCCCGCCCGTCCAATCAGCGAGCCGCTCACAGCGCGAGTAGCGGCGACCAATGGCGGGGGCGCTTGCGGCCGGCGGTGTTGAGCCGGCGCCGGGATTGACCCTCTGGGGCCGCCGTAGGCGCGGCCGCCCATTGGCCGGGGAGGAGGGCAGACCGCCGCCGATTGGCCGCGGCTCGGCGCGCGGGCTTCCGGCCGACGGGGTCGCGGGGCGGCGCGGGGCCGAGTGGCTCTCGGCATGGCCACCCGGCCGCCGCTCGGGCCGCGGAAACGGAGCGGTCCCGCGCTGTGCGGGGCGGGCTGGCCGCGGGGCAGCGCCCCGGCCGCCGCGCTGGGGAACGGCTTCCCGCCCAGCAAACGCCCCAAGGGGCCGGCGGAGGTCGGGGCGGAAGAAGATCCCTTCGGGGACAACGACGACTTCACGGCGGACGACCTGGAGGAGATCGACACGATCGCTTCGCAGGCGCTGTCGCAGGACGCCGCTGGACGAGGCCCGGCCCCGGCGAGCCGCCCGCACGGCGCGTGGAGCGGCGCCGCGGAGCCCGGAGGTCAGCGTGGGGCGAGGGGGGGGCGGAGGCGCGACTGTCGCGATAGAGAGACCACAGCTCTCCCGTTCTCTCTCCGCAGCGGGTGGCGGTGCGGACGGCGCTCAGCTGCCAGGGGCGTTCCAGCTGCAGGTGCTGCAGGCGCAGCACGAGGACGCCCGGCGGAAGGTCAGCGCCGCCCCGCAACTCTGTGGAGCCCGGGGGCGGGGATCCGGTCCTGCCTCTGATCCGGGTGGTTCGGAATCCGAGCGTGCGGTGTATGAAAGGAGTCCTAATGGAAATGGCTCCAGGGCGTCCGAAGGGAGCGGTGTTTGTGCCCCGGGCATTTCGGATAAGCAAATGCTGATCTGTCAGTTTTTGTCTTTCCTGTTAAACCCTCCCTCTGTCCTGTGCGGCTGCTCTTTGTCACTTAATGATTTGAAAGAGTGCATTTAAGGGGATGGTGTTACTGTGCTTTATGGAAAGGCACCGCAGTGCCCAGGGGCACCCACAGCTCTATCTGTGCTCAGAGCCCCCCAGCCTGAGCTGGGAATCTGCAGGGATGGGGCATCACCAGCTCTCTGGGCATCCTGTACCATTGCCTCATGATCCTCATTGTAATAATTTCTTCCTTATGTCCAGTCTAAACCTCCCCTCCTTCAGTTGGAAACCATTTCCCTAAAAGAAAGGTGTGACAGCAGTGCAGAAAAGCCCACAATCTCTGACAGGCAGCAAAACACTGTAATTCTATTAGAGAAAGTCACAGAGCCTGATTTAATCAGGAAAAAAAAATAGAAGAGAAGCCACAGTGCAGGATTTCTACACTGGGTTATAGCAACTATATAGCAACTGAGCTGCAGCACTCAGCCTTTGACCTTGTAGAGAGCAATATGGGTACTTTTGGCTGAATGTACTGAATGTATGCTTAATGGAATTCATCTCTTTGCAGCTGAAAGAAATGCAGGATGAAATTCTTACTAAAAATGGGGAAATCAAAATGTTGCGTGACTCTATGCAGCAGATGGAGCACACTATGGATGAGCAGAGAAGGTCGTACATGCTGTTGGAACAGCAACAATCTCAGGCCCTTGGTGAAAAAGAGAGAGAGTTCTCCAAAAAGGTTTGTAGCTCTGTCAGTCGCCTCAGCACCACACATAGAAAGAAGCTCACAGTGTGACTTCAGTGCTGCCACGGTCTGTTCAGTCAAAGAAGGAATATCTGTGTGACTCTTCTGAGTGTGCCTTTATTTTGTTATGCAGAAGAAAACCCTTACAAGAACCTGACAGGGCATTTCTTCTGCCAAAATAAGACTGAAGTGAAGATGGCAGGTTTTTGCTTGCTTGCTTTCTTTAGCAGTCCCCAGAACATTACAACTGGAAATAGAATGGTACATTACAAACAATTGTAGAATGGAAAATGAGACAGAAGGTGCTGTGTGACTCTGATCAGATTGCTGTTCCTGTTGCAGTCATCTTTGTGAGAGCCCTGAAGAGGACAGTGGCTGCTTTTGTGCTGTTAATGGCCTGGCTGTGCTCATGCTCTTGTGGCACTTGGTCTGTCTTGCCAAGTCATTGCTTCTTGCCTGACCCTGGGCACTTGGTTCTCAGATAGTATTAATTGGATTAGCATAAAAATGGAGAACTTGTACAGAGATCACAGTAAGTAGCCAGCAACCTTGAAATCTTACAGAAATTTGCATTGCTTTGCAGTTGGAACAGCTTACCTATTCTGTAGCAGTGAAACCATCTCATTGATTCTTTCAGTTACTGTCACTGCAGTCAGAGTTGCAGTTCAAAGATGCAGAAATGAACGAATTAAGAACGCGGCTTCAGAACTGTGAAAGAAACAAACACTCAGCTCAAACGGTTGTGCCACAAAGGTATGTGTGGGTTTTGGGAAGTAATCTGTGTTCTTTTCATGCACGCTTGAATACGTGCACAGGTTTCCTTTGTCCGTGTAACTCTTAGGTCATTTCCTTGAGAAAATACAACCAAAACCATTCTGTTGAGCTGAAGAAATCTTTCTGTGACAGAAATGCAGGGGGTGTAGAGTGAAGTACCACTGAAACGTCAGTGCTGAGAAAGCTATTAAATGGATCTGTGTTGTTTAATAAAATGCTCCCAAAAAAGATATTGATTCATTAAAGCTGGAGGGGGATTTGTTGGTGTTTTGTTGTTCTTGTTTGTTTGTTTGTTTTTTTAGTAGCCCTAAAAAGAATTTTACAGTCCAGATGAAATCAGAAGGGTGTCCTCTGCAGCCTGGAAAAAGGTCTTTTCCTACAAAAGAGTCTTTCAATGCTGAAACAGCTGTCAGACCCTCTTCTTCTTCTTCAGGAAATTGTTTTGCACAGATGGTTTCCAGCAAGGAAGGTAAACCTGCAAACAACTTATGTATACAACCTGCAGTATTTTTAGCTGCTTTTGTGAACATTCTGCCTTAGATTCAGACTTTTGCCCTGTGTGACCCAGCAGTTGCTGTAAGGTCAGCACAGGCACAAGAGTGGTTCTTTTGGTGTGACACTGCTTGTGCTCCATATGGCTCCACCTCAGGTTTGCAGGAGGATCACTTGGCAGTGAGGTAAATGCCAGGGAGCTGGGTGAAGTGTTTGCTGGCTCTCATGAGAAAGTCATTTATTATGAGATGAGCTGCAATGTCCAAACTGTTACCCACGTTCCTCACTCAAGGAGGAACAGGAAATAATTTGCTTATTTGTTGAATAGGTCTACCAGTCAGCTAGTGCGTTTTTTATAGTCCTGAGGTTTGGGCTGTGATAACAGTTCTCTTTTTTTGGTATTTCATTTTAAATGGTGCATATTGAGCCACGTTAAAGCGAGCAGCTGCAGGGCTTCGCTCATTTCCTCCTTTATGTGTTGAGCAGGTAATTCTCACACAACTGTGACTTTAAAGTCATTGAGTAAAACCTAGGGAACACATGTGTGTGTTTTTCTGTGTATTACTGGTATATGGAACAAAAATTGTGCTGCTTTTTTTTTTTTTCTTCTTTTTTTAATAGCAGCCAACTGCTGCGTTGAGACAGTGGCACATTGCCAGAGGGAAATAATGGGAGACATGAGGAGCTGTCCCTGCCTGGAGCAGAGGGTTGGAACTACATGATCTTAAAGGTCCCTTCCGACCCAAAGCAGGCTATGATTCTGTGACCTTCACTGCAGGCTGATGGAACCTCTGAGGCGTTTCTGTCAGCTGCAGTATTCAGCCAGAAGCAGTGCTGGGCAGTGTGTATCAGCAGCCTTAGGAGGGTTCCTATAGTTACTTTTTCAACGCAGTGGTGTTTGACACTGCTGAGTATTTTATATTGGCCTGTGCTCTGTGTTCTTACTGCACGACAGCTGTGGCTAATTGAAGGTGTGCAGATGACAGATGCAGGTGTCTGAGCGATTATTCCTTGTATTTGAAACATAATTACTGTTTGCTTTAGATAGTAAGATGCCCCATCCTGAATTGTCATCCATAAAGCAGGAAGCAATGGGAAGGAGTGGTTCTTGCAATTCTGTACCTCGTCGGAGCATTCAAGGTAACATATTCCTGGCAACACAGAAATAATAAGCATGAAAAAATAGATGAGCATTTCTGAGGAGCGATTAAGAGGCCATTAGTGAGTGCTGTCATGTATGTGCAGTGCCACTGCATGGATTCCTGCCTGGGGAGTTAGTTGCTCTTAGCTTTGGTTTTGCACTGGAACATTTCAGGTTCTATTATCATATATCCCTGCAGCACTGGGATATTGTTACTCTGTTTCAGAACATTGTTTGCCTGGGTTTTGCTTTTCAGAAGGGTATGGACCAAGATGTACATGGAGAGACGTCTTCCAGGCTTGGCTGTGTAAACAAACAGTGCTGTCTGTTGTGAAGAGAGCAGGAAAAATGTACATTTCTTGTTTCTGAAAGTGGAAGGAGCACATCAGTGCTTAAGGTGTTCAACACGTTATTTCCAGTTCAGAATTGCTTCACGTGGTTTTAATATTCAGACTGGAACATGGAGGCCATGGCCCCAGGATGACTGCGTTGTTATAACCACTTGATTGAGGTGTTTTGCTTATAAAGGGACTGTAGTTAAAATCTCCTTAAACATGCCTTGATCCACATTTAAATTGTGATCTATAAGATTTTGAGAACCGATGGATTTAAAGTATTATTTTCTTCCCGTATTCTGTCTTGTAAGAGAAAGGAAATTGATGATGGAAGAACTGATCTTTGAGGTTGAGAGCACCGTTGGTGAGGTAAACCTTTTGAAATATGTTGCTGTTGTTGCAGAGGATGGAAGAGCCACTCCAAAGGCAATCTCTCCAGGTTCCGCCTTGCTGAGCGCCCTGCTGAAGCAGCCCCTTGTCTCTGGGTCCCTGCTGGGACTTTGCCATCTTCTCAGCAGCAGCGCTGAGGCTCTGCCAGGAGCTGTGCTGCAGCCCGACCTTCTGCAGACGTAAGGACTGTAAAATTGCATCTGATGTGTTGGCAGCACAGTGGGATGCTGTGTGAGACAGGTGTTGTGTGTGGGGCACCTGGCGCCTTGTGTTCGGCGCCCTTTGGCCGAGTGATTGAAGGCAGAACTTGGAGCATCATTCTGCAGCTTTGGTCACCTGTCCTTGGTGATTGTAGGTACTGAACGCAGGAGAAACACGAAATTGGAAACTAGATTGATTCTGTATTAGGGGAGGGCACAGAAATTAGGAAAACTTGGAAGTGGCTACAAGCAACTGCTGCCTTATCTTTTTAAGGATATGTTTAACTATATAAAATATCTGTTATATATATACACACACACACATATACATGTATCCTAAAATCTAAACCAGTGCTGTATTTAAATATGAAGTTGAATATAAAATCAACTGTCTGAACATGGTTTCAAATATCATGTTCATTCATCAGATCTTTGTTGTTAATTGTTTGATGGCTCTTTTGTTGAGGGCCCTTTGTTTTGCATTTAACATTTCCTTAGGCTTGTAGGCTAGCAATTGCTGAATTCAGTGGGATAGTTTGGAAAGGAATTAGTTGCTCACAAAACCTGGGTTATACCCTCTATTTTATAGGAGGATGCACACCATGGTAACTTACAACTATTTGTCTGCACCTGTTGGTTTAGGAGAACTTCTAATAAAGGTTTTTGGTGCAGTCTTATCTGCTCAGCCTGTTTTACTGCTTAATAAGACTGTAACCAACAATGCTTACTGTCACTGTATTTCTTGATTATTATTACAGGAGATGAATGCATTAAGCACTTAATTTAACTACTGCATTTCTCTCCTTAAAGAACTAGACTTTATCTCATGAAATACCTTTGCTTTTCTGACACTCTGTAGTAGTTATAGTGCTTTGTGGTGTTAGCATGGCTCGTGCCTCACTGCCCTTCCATTTCATGCAGGCAGCATACCTGCATTTGGCCTCTGTAGCTGCAGTTTGAGAACAGCCATCCCTGGCCTTCCTATTCTTTGATTCAGAACACAAATAAGCACATTTTCAGCTCTGTTCTCTACTTTTTCTTCCACCAAAGTATTTTCCTCCCTTTCTTTGGGTAGGCAGCCCACGCAGACGCCTGGCACCAGGGCAGCCCCGGAAGAAGTTGCTCCTCTTGTGTCCCTGCAAGAAGCTCAGAAGCTCGCAGTGACAGGGCTGAACTTGATCGCTATGGACGAAGGGCCGTGCGAAGGGAGCCCTGCAGGGAGTGGGAGCGAGGTGTTGTGTTTGAAACGCTGCAAGATCCGAGGAGCTGTGCACCTCCTGCCCTTGGTGGAACACCACATCGGTGCTTACTGTCGAGCGGTGCAGTCGGCAGACAAGTCAGTAAATGCTTCTTGTGGAAACCATGCAGTCGTTTCTTCCAGAACCAACACAAGTAAGGTGGCGAGTAAGGAGGACTTCAGGTTGTCTCTTGAAGAAGCAACAGTTCTGTCGCTAGGTATTCTTTATTATTTGGCGTTTTATAGCTGGGACGTTGTCCACGTGTTGCTGGCTAATGAGGTGGAAGAAAGTTCTGCTGTTGGAGAAGAACAGCTTTCCAAGACAGACAAAAATGTGCTGTGTGATAATAAAGAAGATGACAGGACGCAAGGAGGGCTGCCTGACGCTCCGCAGGATGCTGACAGTAACGTTCAAGCACAACATTCTTTGTTCAGGAAGCTGCTCCAGGTTTTAGCTTTTTCTGCCACCGCGGGCTCCCAGATGGATTGCATCCTGCAGCACAGCCTGAAGGTTCTGGTAAAACTGGCTGAAAACTCAACGATGGACTTGCTAATCAAGTAAGTAATAGTTCATCAGTGATTTCAGGCTCTTTGTTGTGTAGCAGTTTTCACTGTTGAAAATAATTTGTGCAGGTGGCAGTAGAAGGTGTGACACCTGTGGGAGAATGTCACGTTTCTTGGCTCACCTTTGGGATGCAGTGGAGGATCTGACCACTGCCTTGGCTGCTAATGAATGTGATAATTGCCCCAGCTCGATAGTAAGATCTGCTTATCATGCATTTATGTGAAGCAGATGCTTTTGGCTCCTTGCATGGCTCTCATTTTGAAGTGAGAAAGCTTCTTCAGTCGTGTGGTTGATCATTTTTTTTATTTGAATTGCTGGGAGATGCATAAGGAATGAAAGCACAAGGCTTCCTGGTTTACTTATTTATTCTATTTCTACTCTATGTTATAATATTTATAATTCTCATATTCTGTTTATAATTACGTGAAATATAATGTCTGTTTATTCTTGTGGATGAAATGCCATTCCTGAAAGTGTGATCCTTGCTTGCTAATGGATGCATGGAGCCATCATATGAACTGCAGGCTGCCTGCAACACGTAACAGCATATGTTTTGCAGCTTTCTTTATTTCTGGTGTGTAAGTGGAGCTTGTGTTTTGAATGGCTGGAAAAGGTGTGAGTTACGAAGCAGTGAATTACTTTTGACTTGTCGGTCACTTCCCATTTGTAACTGGGATTTCTCTTTGCAAGTTTTCAGCACCTCCTGAGCCACCAGGTGCTGCTCCGTGTCCTGTGCCCAGCTGTCCCTCTGCACACAGTTCTTCTGACCGTGAAGCTGCTGTCCATACTTGCACAACACCACTTGCTGGTTGCTCAACTTTGCTCCCATTCAGGTACAGAATTCCTTCACACAGCATTGTTAGCAGTTTAGTATTAGTCAGCCCAACTAAAAATCATACAAACGGGCTTTGTTCTGTAGTCTTAACCCCCACAGCCCAGGCTGCCTGCAAGCTTGTGCTTGTGCTGAGTTTCATTGCTGTTTGAAGAGCACCTCTGGTGTCACCTGTGTACCCTCAGCGCTTTGGATTTTCACTTTCCACACAAATACCTGTTGTATTAAAAACTGCTGAGGAAAAAAGGAGTTCTGGGGGGTTGAAAGCTAACAAAAATATCGCCTGCTATTGACTAGCTGTGAAAAGAACTGAGTTGACTCTCTTCCAGATAGCTGCCTTCTTCTTGCACTGTACATGTACATCACATCAAGACCGGACAAATCGGCCTCTGAGGTGCATTGGCTGCAGCTGGAGCAAGAGGTAGCACTGCCAGGTCCCACAGTTTGTCTTGTTGAAGGGGTGGGAGGAGCAGGGCAGTGCCTGAAGCATCCGAAAAAGTTCTTCAGCTGTAACAGAAGCTGAAAGTGTGAGCTTTTGGTGTGGAATTACATTGGTTTCTATGAATCACTGTTGGAAATTGAATCAGTAACTATTCTTCAAGATAACACCAGTCATAGCAGTCAGAGTGAAGTCACTGAAAAAGCACGAAGCTGCAAATGAATTCAAGACTGCAAATGTTGTTTTGCTTTTAGGTTGGTAGAGAGCAAGACCTGTGTACCGTTTTGATCCTGTAATTCACTTTGAGTTGCTACACATGAAAGATAGAAACTGAAGATATTTATTCACTGCATTTAGTGAAGTTAAGTCAGGCAGTTAAGTTTTACAGCAAAGATTACACTAACTAGTTTGGGTGGAGTAAAAAAGATCAGTCATTAGTTACAGACTGTTAGAAGCCAGTAACAAAATGTCATTCTGACTTGCCTTGATTTGCAGCTCAGTAGTTTGCTAGCTCTGCAGAAGCCTGCTGCTCACTGTAACACATCTGCATGTCTTTGGAACAGGCAGTCAGGCTCCTGACCCGGTGCGTGCGGTTCTCCAGCCCAGCAGTTTTACCCCCTGCTGCACACTGCCAGTGTAATCTGGAGGTACGTCACTGTAGCTACTGAATTTCTTCTGCTGAAAATGTAGGAGTAGCCTCTTATCCTTTTTTAGCTGCTGTACTTCAAAGCCTGCCTTCTGGAAAGTTTGATTTTGCTTTCCAGCATCTGATATCTGGAGAACAACTAATGCAGTTCATAATGCAATGCGTTTTCTGCTGCTGTGATTTCAGTTTGGGTACTCAGTCTCTTTTTTTCCTCTGGCAGGTGGTTAAGGCACTAATAATAATGTTACACAGACAGTGGACAAAGATTAGAAGATTTGAGAGCAGCTTGTGTGCACATAAGGAGCAAGTCATTCAGTTCTTAAGGGACGCTGTCCTACTCTTACACAGCCTGTGTCAGAAAGACAAACTGTTTCATGAGCACTGTTTGGAAGTACTCCATCAGTATGACCAAGCCATGCCAGGCATTAGAGCCATCCTCAGAAAAACCAAAAAGCTGAGCGCCTGCGAAGGTAAATGGAGCCACGTTGTGTTGTGTTGTGGTTTGGGTTTTTTCCCTCCCTAGCATATAAATAAAATACCACTTCTGTCCCGTTCTCAGTTAACTGTGGAGTCACTAAGGTTGGAAAAGACCTTTGGGATGATTAAGTCCAGCCATCTTCCTACCAGCACTACTGCCCACGTCCCTCAGTGTCACATCCCCACAGTGCTTGAATGCTTCCAGGGACGGTGACTCCCCAGGTCCCTGAGCAGCCTGTTCCTAATGACTAGTGGTTAGCAGTCCTAATAACCACTGTCTACCAACCATGGATGTTTTGTTGGTTTGACCTAAGAGGGTACTCCACAGTCGTAGTGTTTCTCAGACTTCATTACACAGAAGCACTAGTTCTCTCTTCTCTCCATAGAAATATGTCCCTACTGTCTGATCAAATAAAATCCTATGCCCCAGCTCCTTGCAGAACAATAATCTTTGCTGTGTGTTGCCATGTTTAACAGTATTCCAAGTTTTCCACTAACATTACACTTTCCCCTAACAGTTCCTTTTTTCCCTGCATCTCAAACACCTTCCTTCATCTTCCTTCTTCTATCCGTCCATGTTTTCCACTATTCCAAAAGCTCCTCTAGCTCGTGTAACATCAGAGCTTTCCCTTTGCTTTGCTCACATGCTGTGTCTGTTTCCTGCAGAGCTGATCTGGTGCTTTTGCCTCTTCTCCCTGCACCTCGATGCCTCCTGGTGCCCACTGTACACCCTGTAGCACAGTGTCATTATCCGAGATAGCTGAGCACTTGCCTTTGGCACTTGCTGTAGCATACTACAGGCAGCATGTTTTACAGTAAATCAGATCCCAGCTATTAATTTTATCAAGTACAAAAAAACACCTTTCTGAAATGTGCTTCGTGTCGTTTGTTGTTGTTGCAGAGCTGATCTTGGATGAGTTGTACCCTCCTGAGCCAGAAGCAGAAGATCAGGACTCCAGTTAGCCATGTGGCAGTGATCTCTGCCCGTACTTCAGTCATCGTAATCACTGCCAGAGTAAACCTGATCTAAATCAGCAATTCTCCACAGTGATAACTCAAAAGTTGCTCTCCAATGCACAACTAAAACACAATTCTTTGTTGCAGTTATTCTACCTAAGTGCTATCCAAATGAAAACAAGGGAATTGTGATGTGAGGACAAAAATAATACTGCCATGTACTGTTTTGCTGTGCAAAACCACTGGAAGGATGAACTTAGGAATGGTTCTGTTTATGAGCATCGCCCTTCATGAAGCTGCTGTGAATGGAATGGAAACCTTACTGTGTGTTCCCCATTTACTGTGACTACAGCTGCATTTATGCTGGTTTATGATGCTGAACGTCCTGGGACGTTTGGGGTCACTGAGTTCCTATGCAAGTCTTGTGACAATATTTGTTGTTTCTTTTGTAGCTGTACCACTTCCTTGCTTGAGACTTTTGTGTTGAAATTAGTAAATTGTTTACTGTGACTTTTTTAAAAAATAATGGCAGAAATAACTTGTAGTCGGCAGTTCCCTACTGAGCAAGGCATTTATAAAAGGCCTGGGCTCATCAGCTGAGTTCACTCCTTTTTTCAGTTTCATGAATGTGCTGGAAGTGGCACTGCTAAGATGCTCCACCCAAAGCTGCTGGAACTCAGAGAAGAACCAGGTGGCTGAAGGGAACGTTGTACTGAGCAAAAGAGGTTCAAAGCTCTGCAGAACCTGAGCTGTAGCACCCGGGTCTGTGCTGCAGTGGAACTGAATGAGCAGCTAATTGCTAGGATATGGCACGAATGATTGCAGGAGTTACTGTTGCTGTGTTCTTTCGGTGTAGTGGGCTGCTGTTAGCAGCTGAACCTTAGATCCCGAAACCAGAACTGTTTAATTGCTACTAAAAGAAGCCCCTTGGTTTGTGGTGCAGCTATGGGGTGCCTTTGAAGAAGGAACTAACCCTTCTTTATACCAACAATGACCTTATATAGTGTTTATGGGGAAGTGAGAAATTAAGTTCATAGCTGGTAAACTCAAAAACATCAATCCCAGCATTCAGTCACTTTGTTTTTATGTAGTGTGTGCTTCCTTACAAAAAGGGAAACGCGTGTCTTTAGTGGTCGTGAAGGAAATTTCTGCTTTGTATTCCTAGATTTTGCAGTTAACAGGCTTCATATTGCAGCTGAGTGAATTGTGATGGCATCAATTCCTGCAGCAAGGGAAGAGGGGCTCCTACCAAGACAGGTTGCATTGAGGGCAGAAAGAACACGGTTAGGTGTGCTCTTAGGTTAGAGCTCAGTACTGAGGTGATAAAGCAATGGTGAAGTCTATAAATTCCTGTTTTTATCTGCTGTGTAACTAAACTAGCACTATGCCTTCCTATCCTTTCGTCTTCAGTATGTGGGAAGCATATGAGGACTGTGGGGCCGTAGAACATCACACGGCTTCTCAGTGCCTCTGCCAGGGGCAGGGTGGTGGCAGGAGAGCTGGAGTGAGGGCATGGCTATAGGCACTGCGATGGAACTCTGACTGGTCCCGGTTCCCTTCACCTTCCATTCCCTCAGGCACTGTCTGGGTAGGGCTGGATGCGCCCCAGAATTTCTTTTGCACCAACAAGTCAGCCCTGCCCAAATCTTACAAGACGTGGAGCAGAGACGGAGCTTTAGAAAAGGTCCTTCCTGACAAAGCTTTCCTCCTCTGTGGTCTGAGGGTAGCACTCGGGCTGTGCAGCACCAGGCACTTGCTGCCTCCTGCAGCACTGATGCACAAGTGGCCTTCCTGCAGCGGCATCCAGAACGGGCCTGGCTCCAAGGGCCGGAATGGAGAGCAGCAGTACTGCAGTGGGAGGTAGGCCCTCGGAAAATTGGGAAGCATCCAGTCCTCTGGTCTTAACCCAAAAAGGCCGTGCCGTGCCCTGGCGTGCCTGGGCAGGGAGCCCTGCTCTGCATGCTGAACGTGCTCTTGGCTGGGCTCTTGCTTTTGAAGAGAACTTTCCCAGAAACAGCTGTGCAGGAATAACGGGTGCAGTAAGTCAACATCTCCCTCCAGCCAAAGTTGCTTTGCTCCCTCCTCCTGCAGTGCAGCACGGGGACGGAGGGCCGGGCAGGGGCTGCTGGGGGGCTGTGAGGAAGCCTGGCTGTGAGATCCTGCGTCTGGTGCTCAGCCCACTGGAAGGGCAAGCAGAGCTGTCCTGCTGAGATGCCATCATCACAGCACCCCGCAGTGCAGCACTGTCAGCTGTTAATTGCTCTCTGCTGTTCTCACCAACTGATCTCTACGAATATAATTTGAGTGTAAGATGGACTTCAATCACTTTAATCACTTCTGATAAAATACTGGAGGAGTTTGAACTAACAGGAGTTAAGGAATCCTGACTTGTTGAAGCAGTTCAAAGGTATAAAAACTGTTTGGAAAAAAAATCCTGGCCTTATCTCAAGGACAATTTGGTAAAAGGGAGATGTGTACTACTGCTAAACTTCACATAAATTAGTATTATCTGTGGAAAATGCAATAGGAAAATATCATGAATTGTTCCCTTCTGGGCTGCCGTGGCATTTTCCCTTCTTTGTGCTCTGAAGAGGGAGGCTGTGAGAAAACCCAAACCTTGTGCTCTTATGGGCAGAAGTAACGTCGTGGAATTACAGGATGGAGCAACAGCTTCTAAAACCTTTACTTAACATTAGCTGCTAAGACAGAAGTGAAGCTGCTTGCTGTGTGACCTTGAAGTAAAGCAACTCGGATTGCTCTAATCAGACACTCCCTGAAGAAATCGCAGCATGGCAGTTCTCCTTTCAGGGACAGATGAACAAACAACATCTGGTTTCCATCTTGCCAGGACTCAAAACACATTTGTGAGAAAGCAGGCTTTAATAGGTGAGGATGGCAAACAAAGCACTGCCTGCAACATCTGCC